GCAATGTTTGAAGTAATCGACGAATTGGTAAATGCCGTAACTAGTGGTAAATTTGTGCAGCTTACCTTGAAATTAATGTCGCTCTTCCCACGTATCTCCAAGTTGGTTCTGTCTGATGACAATTTTAATTGTGAACATTAATTGAACTCGATTCAGTTCTTCGTTGATAAGGCCTGGACGTTCAATAATCATGAAATTTCTAACAAATGTAGTAAAGCACCAAAAAATATACTGAATTACCTAAAGCGCACGTTTATGTAGTAATTTAGCTTTATTTTGCACTAAAAAGCCTAAAATTACGTTATATCAGCCTATTATATCAGAAAGTCCAAGTGACAGTCTTGGACACAATTTCCCAAATTGCGCATGACTTATACACTATATGCCATTAAATATAAATCCAAGTTGCGTTAAGATAATACGTTGAAGTATGTCTTGGATTTGAAGAAACATGATTTTCGCCACGCGCAATTTCTGGATTGTCCGGAGATAATAAAATGTTAATTGCAGTTTGCGTTTTTTAATTCATGAACGCAGAAATATTCCAACGACGGCCTTGAGGCATATCGATTTCATGCAACAGTCGTAACAGCCGCAATAATCCCTAAATATTGACGGCGCCCTGTGCAAGGGACTATTCAAACCACTGAACACTTTGAGGGTTAGCTGCCATGTACTTTGCACATAATAAAAGTTATTTTTGAAAACAGAACTATTGAATGAAAGACTTGGGTCAAACTAAAGTTTCTGAACTTTAATTAGTTTGAAGTCTCCGTCAACCCAGATAAGCACCGCACTTAACTTAATACCATCCTTGCATTAATTCTGAAATCTGAAGATAATTATAGAACTTGTAGTTGGTGGTTGTCAAGTTCTTTAAGAGGTTGCAGCACAGAGAACAATCTCTAATTCAGAGGCCTCAGCAGTCTAAGGAAGTGTGGACATTTTCTTTCCCAAAAACGCAATTATTGTGGTTTCAACGTGCTTATATACAGTATTTGGAGGAAACTGCTGTGGGTGTATTAAGGTAGCCATGTAGGATTGTGGGCAGTTTGCCTCAATGAGATAACGTTTGAATGGAAAAAATAAGGTGTGTCCTATCATTTCCTATTAACCAGTCCTAAACATTGGCAATTATGTTAAGAGTACCTTTTTGTTGCAAGTTTTATCAAGCAACCACTATTATTTAAATTTCCATTTACTGTCAAATTCGTTTTTAATTTTTTTTGTTTCCTGAAATGACTTGGCCTTATCCGAGCATGCCTTGTCGATATTTTATTAGGTGTTTACGGTATAATTTATTTCGCTCCGTATTCTGTCAGTTTACTTGGCCAAAGAAGAAATAACCACGACGGTTACCAAATTTAGCTCTGTTCTCTGTAAATGAAAGTATCGCGAGTTATAACCTGTGACAATTGTAATTATCATGTCACTGTTTTGTTCGTCATAGTGTCCCATTTATTGCTATTGTATGCACAATAGCTGAAGCTATTTTCAACACTTTTTTTCTTTATGGAGCATGACAGGTGCTGTACTTTTATGCATAAATTTCACGTAACCATTTCTAAAATCAGGCTTATGCGCTTCTGTGTACTTTATTTCAAATTGTCCTGGAATGTGGTTGCATATTTGGTTACATCTAATGGCACCACGTCTATTTCTAACTAATTTTTCTTCGAAGGATGAATTTGAGGATTTAAAGCCGGCTAAATTTTATTACACTGAGGTGAAAACTAAATCAAAGCTCATTGTGGCCCGAGCCGTTACGGGTCATGTGAGGGTGCTGCGCCAGAACGAAGACCTGGCAAGTTGGGGGTATTTATCACTTTAGCTACCATCGCTGGGTAAGTTTCCGACCCAAGTAACCATTGTGCTTCGTCGTGCACCCAAATAATTGTTTGTACAAATCGTTGGTTGTGGCTGTGTGCATACTGAAGTCGTGGCTATGAAAACTACATGAGGTATCTTTTTGCCAAGTTTCACATTAATTGGACTTTGTTTTCACGTTGTTCTATCATTGCTTGTGTTTTATGCCTGCTTGATAATAAACACTTGTTCATTTTTTGTCTTTACTGCTGCAACTATTTAGATTAGTCGCAAAGCCATGAAAGTCCAATTCTTTTTTTTCACAGCCACATAATAATCATTTCGGTGTAACGAAATGCTGCAGATTGGTCGATCTGTGTAATTCATACATAGGAATGCACTAAGTAATGTAGTCCCAAACTACTGGGTTTTCTGCAATCCATCGCAGTAACATTGTCGTCACTTGGGCCAATTTATAGTCCCTGGACGTGGTCTTTATTTCCACAGGCGTCGGTGACTGAGTGTGCACCAGCATCACTGACCCTATCTTACCCTTTTATAAGAATGAAAAAGAATTAACCAGCATCTTAATTTAAGAGTCATGCAGGCTTCACAGATGCGAAAGTTGGAGGGAATGTTGGACATGAGTGGTGCCTCTTATAACGGTTTGATTTGCACAGTGAAAAACCAATTTTAGGACTTCAAAAATAATTTATCTCTGAGGGGGGTATTTATACAATATTTGACATGTTAAAATGTGCTGTAATTGTGAGCAAAGCACTGATCTTACTTTCATTCACATTTCGCTGACTTACCGCTACTTATTTCTTGAAGTTTAGTTTAATTTTTTATTGAACTGCCACTTGTGATTTCAAGATGATATTTCCATGTCTTCATTGATCGAAATCTGTGATGACAAAACAATGCGATTAAAGATATGCGTGATTAGAACAAACCTTACATAAATTTATGAAGCTTAAAATTGCGCACGTCAACCTCAAACTCTGGTCATGATGGCAAAAGCTATAGATTTCTTATTTGTACTTTGGAGTGAACTTATTCAAATTGTCTAACACTCAAAATCGTCTTGCCGTTGAATCCTCTTTGGTTTTTAATGGTGCTTTTAAGTCTATGCAAAGTATTAGACTATACGACAATCTTCACAACTACATATATCCCTTTATAAGCGTCATTTTTCATTTATGACTCTATATGTCTACCTATTTTACGAAAAAACTCACTTTTGCAGCAAGTGAAATTTGGCTGGAACTCTGTCATTAAGTTTCCATAAAAACATAACTGGATTGTGGCTTTAGTGTATCCTTAGGTCCTGCAGATTGTACTTTTTCTGATTACAAAAAAGATTTTGCCTGTTTTCGTATTTGCGTTAAATTTATGACTAATTAATGACGATACTTATTTTGTTCCCCAAGCTACGCTAGTTTCCAAACTTGAATGATTAATTACCTTCAACTAATCTGACAATAAGCTCCATTGAGTTTTGGTTACAAGTTCTAAAGGTTGGCGGTTTCAAACTGCTTCAGATTAGTGTTATTTAAGGTGGGACCCTCACCAACAAAGTAGTCATGCCTCTTTTTAATTGTGTACGGGAACACCTGAGCATTACATCGCAATTTTGCCACCGTTGTCATGTCTATTGAGTCCCACATAAATCATGTTCGTGTCGATGTTAACAAAACGTAAACGAAAACGCGTCATTGTTGAACGTTCTGCGAATGAACCCGCTCACATGACTTCGTATCACGAACGCTTTGTTAAGACTCGAAATTTCGTTTAAGATATCAAAAACTGAATTAAACAATCCACCGCTAGGCTGCGAGTTTAGCAGCTCCATAGGCTGAGATTCTGTGTGACCTCAAGACTCCAAAATAGTTACCTATTTTTAATAAACACATTTTCTGGCCCCGGCAAAGCCATAATTCATTTTTAATGGCTTCGTCGTTTTGGGGAACAAGATGGACACAACTGTTATGCCAATCTGATTCAATGATGCATGTCCAAAATCGTATAAAAACAGGCTAAATTCTTCATAGAGGGTAATCATGGATCTTGTACCGCTCATCCTTAATCCTCAAAAGTACCTGCTTTTAATTTGAATTTGCGCATCAATTGACGAAATGGTTTACCCTTTCTTTACATCATTTGTACCAAAGAGTAGAGATGATTAAAAAGGATGCAGAGAGGTAGACACAGCCCTTTATTCATCCACCATTCACTATGTCTCATGCTTTGCCAACTCATGGACACAATTAAAAGGTAGTTGTATAAACAAATGCGATCGCAGATTCGTGGAAACCTGAGTGGGTAAAAGAAGAAGCTGGCAGAAAATCCTCTGCAAAACGCGGCTCATATGTAGGCAATGAGATTGGGACGGAGACTATCAAGTGTCTATGACATTGTGTTCCTTTCTCAATTTCACTTCTTAATCTTAAATATTCAGCTTTTTAAAAACTCATTTTAGTTAGTTAGGTACTTGTGATATGTTTAAAGATATTTGTGTTCCTTTACGGGAAAAAAGCCCCAGATACAACTATTGCAATCTATACCACTTGGTAAATGTAAAGTTCAAGTCTGGGAATGAGAGTCTACGTGTTAGACACCACCACCTGGGCTGGACAGATGCGCAGCCACCATGCTTTGCTTGCGTCAGTAAAGTGATTGAAGCACCCAAGTCCCCAACTTGCTAACTGTTTCCAGCCGCGTCATAAGTAACGTTTTCACGTACCTCCTGAATTGGTAACATCTTCTTATTCACACCTTTGCCTTAGGATTATAATTCGCAGAAATCAACTCCGCATGTCACTTGTGCGTTGATTTTCCTGTTTGCTCATGTTCACAGGGCACATTTACTCTCACTGTACTTCGTGAATGATGTTTTATCTCCTGAAATAATTTGGCTGGTTGGTGCGTAAGGCCAACAGTCAAAATTACCCGTTGTACTGTTACGACCTAACGTTTCCTGAGTGGCAAGGACATAGTCCTCGTTAAATTGCAATCATTGACAAGCAGGGGATGAGCGAAACAACCAATTTCCTGGTGAAATGGCAAGGCGACTAGAGCAAACAAATTGCTACTAGCAGCATTGGATTAAACCAAGCTAAGTATTCTATCCGCAAATAAGGTTAGGTGCCTACCAATCACAGAGCCATGCCTTTCATCAATCTTATTGCAATATGCATTTTGAAGGTTATGTGAACTCTACGCTCAACCCATTGATCTACGCAATTTTCAATCGGGACTTCCGTCGACCATTCTGGGAGTTGTTGAGGTGTCACTGTCTTGACATCAACACACGCCTCCGTGAAAGGCGGTACCGACAGGAGTTTAGGCAGCCACCTGTGTCACTGCCTACGATGACGGGTGGCGAAGCCACATTTCCTCGGAGGGGCTGTGATTCCGCTCACCTTGTGGAACAGAGACGCACCTCCGCATTGATCGATTAGCCATCAGTCTCCGAACCAGGGTCTTATTCTCCTTTCTTCTCGATTCAATCAACAATTAAAGAATTCACGTGCAATACTCCCTAACCCTGTGTTCCATCTTCGTTCTGGTGTACATATACATGTCTGCGCACTCATTTCCCTAGCTGAGTTCCAGTAAAGTACATATACAGTTCCATTGCATTTAGCAAGAGTTTAATTAACCTGTTACTTTCTGTGTCAATTAAATCTGCCGCCAAAATTTTAATGCCACCTCTTTTTGGTACTCTTTTCTTTTGTTTTCCCCTGTGAAAGAGATTTTTTGGCCGCTGGAATGCAATTATAGAGATTCAAAATTCAGTTTATAGTGTTATCATTTTATACGTAGTCTCTCACTATCAAAGCTCACGTGGGTTTATGACGCTTATAACAGATTTTGTCTTTCCGCAGTTATCACGTGCTTTGGTTTTGGTAACGTAGAGAAATGTAGCATTTCCAGAAAACTTATTGTGGGACATTATGCCCGGTACGTGTGCATCGCAGCACTGTTTACGTGACCTACATCAGTGCTGATCAGCAGCTAATGCTGTAGTCATATGTTTAGGTAAATTTCTTGGAGTAAAACGTGTAGAAGAGAAATTGAGTGATTACCTTATCTTTGTGGGAACTTTAAATGTCGATTTTCCGGTTATCCTCGACCATACCTTTTGCAAGTTGTTTTGAAGATTATTACACGTGGCTGTGTCCGTGTCTAATGAATGTGGACACCTCATAATGAAACTGTTTGCATCAATTGTTAGTGTTTTTTGTCCAATCGGCAAAAGCCCTGGCTAAGTTTTTTGGTACGTTTCTGTCCGGCAGACATCTCCACTTTTAAACCAAACCATTGTTATAAACGTGATGAACAGTTCTGTAAACCTGCGACGATGAGAAATCTAATTCTCTCAATAACAATGATAAACATCTGTCAAAGTCCCACGAGGCCGATACGAGGCATCATAGTCCCCGTTACGTTGTTGGTTGTACTATATAAAATAAATGTGCTTATGAAGGTGTCCTATATTCACATTTTAATGTGCTCTCCTGTGGACGTTAATAGCTGTAGTTTTGTGTACTGTTAATGGTGCCTAGGCGACAGTGGCTTCTCCTGTCGAAAGGTCGCGGGTACAGAAAAATCGCGTGCGTCAGAAGTAAAACTTGAGGGTTGAATATTTAATGCATTGACTCAAAGTAGAAAACCCGTTACCAAGTCACCATGGCAATTCAGAGATGTTTCAGCAGGTAAGTTTTAATGGAAATCAACCACGAAACTTATCCGTGTGACTACGCCAATGCAACTTCTATTCTAATCAAAGCCCTGTTCAGGTGCTATCTAAAGGCCCAGCAACATTGTTTACGGATATGCTGCAAAAAGTTTCCCTAAGCAGTGTCTGAAAGGCACAAATTTTTTTGTTGTTAAAAATGCGCCAACTTACAAGGATACTTGAAGAACGTGGTGCATTTTAAGAACATAACAGGCAGCCATTTGCAAAAATCTTTTACTAGAATCTCCTCAGTCAAACCTCTTTGGGCGAGACAGTGTAAAGAAAAGCTTGTTAAGTCCACTTAAAGTAATAAGAATTCACACATCACGGCTCTACAAGATGCTGTGAACTATTACAAAATGCTGAGGTTTAATTGTGCAGGACAAAGGCGGTTTTTTCCTTGTTTGGAGACTTCGGTGTACTCGAGACTTCATTTATATTTAATCACAGAGACGGTAGAATTTGTGGTGCATAATCGAACCTCGCTTTGAACCCTAAAACTGTACAACACGAAACGCACTTACACTTGGTTTCAAATCGGACGAGTCGAGGAGTTAGATCTTAACAGATCACGTCCCGGTACTAGAAACCGTTCTATTACGGTCTTAAAAGAAACCTTTAGGTTTATGCTAATGTTCTGCAGTTAAAAAAAGATTAGAGACCCTTTTAGTTGGCGGTGTACTCTTCCTTCAGTTGGTCCCTTATCAGGAGTTAATAGGCCTTGCTGGCAACACCTTAGTTGGCGGTGGATAAACTTAGGGCAACTCTTGGAGGCATTACTTTATTTCCAAAGGGCAGCGAATCGACAAGCATGGACTAATAGCCAAAGTCTACATTTGCCCGAAAATGCTACGCTCAGGACATTTTATGCTATTCATGTTGCACACAATGAGTGTTAAGTGGCAGTTTACAGCAGCTATCCATCTTGTTAAAATCTTGGCAGGACCTTCTCAGCAGTCGTTATGCAGTAATCGTTTACTGAATTGCAGTTTGCAGTTATTTAGTTGATTAGTCATAGGACAAACAGGTCTCATTGCTTGAAATCTGCGTTTCATCATAGAACGCCAATGGCACTTTTGTGTCTGGGATCAAAGATGCCACAAGGAGCACAATGGGAGTCAAACCTCAGCACGTTCATCCATGATGGGATGTTACCTATGCAATGTTAGAAAATTCACAATTCCGTCTACCGCAAGCTTTAGCGCTTCACAAAAGTATATTCCAGGAACTAGGAGGCGTCGTATTATCCCATCGACACAACTTACCAGCTTCCGGTCACCATGGTAAATTAAATAATACCACCAGCATCATTGTGCCCTGTTTTGTCCATTTTACTTCAACCACGGTGTGACCTATCCTAAACTTTTGTGAATGCAGTTTTTAGCTTCCAGATTCATTCGTGATAGCATCTAAACATCGGCGTGCCTGTCCACCTAACAATCAGTTAGCATATTTGATTAACAGAAATATAGTTGTCCTGTTGAGATTAATGCATTTTGCATATTTTGCGACAGATGTAATTTTGATAAACTTGAAAAGTTGTTATGGGGCTGACAGTTAGAACAACATCAACGCTTTGGATGCATTTTCTTTTAAAAAAATCCAAATTCTCCCCACATTTAGGCTCTTAACAGTGGGTCTATGCACTCCCAAATGGGAACTTAAGTCATTCAGGATTTGAGCCATTGCCATGAAAAAAAACCCCTAGAGTACACTGAAACCTCGATTAGTCTTGTGACTGAGCAGGATCCTTAGTAGAATGTCACCAATTTCCTATCTTTTAGATGCATCCGCTTCGGACATGCAGATACGCATTGTAAAACAATACCATAAGTAAAGATAGACACTACACGATTTTTTTCGGATGTGACGGTAATCTTTTAAGAGAAGAATATGTGCTACACAATAAACAAAATGTAAAGATATGCTTGAAACCCGGTTTGGATTAATGTCCAGTATGGTACAGTGGCAATATTCGGCCATCATCAGCCATATAAGCAACCATGTACTACTCACGAGGTGAATGGGTTGACCAAATACAAATAATCAACTACACCAAGTTGCTTATATCTACGATAACACTAGAGCATGGAAAGGTCAAGATCCAAAAGTACGCATAGGAGCTATGAAGTCACATGGAGCATTCAAATATGAGAAAAACGTAACCTTGGATACCCCGTAAAATTCTCGGCACTAATTCCAGTAAACTCCACCTGAGGACGTAGTCTGATTTTAGTAGAGACCGGCAGATAGCTGGGCCCCTTTATCGTCACTCCGAGCTGTTTCAAGTCTCAGTGTTAAAGTCCCTTATAAGAGGACGGCATGTTGTTTCCCAAAAGTAACAAGATTGAATTAAATTGACCAAAAGCTGCGCGGAAAAGTACTACTAATATCAGTTTTACTTGTAGCCATTTTAGAGGTATATTTTAGAATGCGTTACGGGTACAGTGCTTCATCGGAACAGTTAAAAGCTCACCACACAAAAAGATAGTGACTCATGGATGGGACAGACTTCATTATTTCTTAAATTCACGGCTCTGTGGATGAGGTTAATTTATTCTTACAGTGTTTTTCGTGCCAAGTGAAGCATTAAATTAAAATAGAATTTTATGGGATATCCACGGCCACTCGTGGCTACGCATAGTGGTTGTCAGGACTAGCTACGTCCTGCCTCGACCAGGAACTCAAATTGTCGTCAAATCGATTTCGGAATTATTTTACATAAGTAGTAGTGAGTGGATGCTGGTTAGGGTACCATCGAATTCATGCACCATTGCCCTATTGTGCGGTGTAGGCGTCTGTCTCATCCACGTCCGCACCTACAGGAAGATAAAGTTCTTCAATGAAAAGCCTTACGCTAGTACACTACAAAAGACCGTTAATAATGTAACCCTGGGAATGCATTAAAGAGATTACGGACGACTACAATAGCCTGGATGGAGACAGGACCTTTTTCTACTCAAGTCCTGCTTTACTTTTAGTTTTCAAGCGCAAAAGTGCTCAGTCAATTAGGAGTCGGCACCCAAGTAACAGCAAATCATCTGCCTATCAACAGCTCTTATTTCAACTGTTACATATAAAGCCCAAGTAGCAGGAGCTGTAACTAGGAGCAATTTGCAGTCCAGACCAAGGTCGTGCCTTATGGCAAAGTACTGTACCCATCAATTCCGCATTTCCGGAAACAAGGGGACTGCATTGGGTGTTTGTTTTGAAGCCTCAGATGATTCGTCACAAGTTAGTCTTGCTATCACGTTATGCCATGACTAAACATGCAGGGACCGGTTCGAGGCCAATTGATTACACTAATAAACTGACTACACTAACGAAGACTTGTGTAGTCAGGAGACTCATCTACTACTAGAACTGAAAGGGCTTCAAAGACATGGCGTTCGCCGCTTTTAAAATCCAGTAAACTTCTACATATTGGCGGCACCCACTGCCTCTTGAACAAATCATCTGCCCACTCATCCCATTACAACAGGAACACTGAACTTGGGGAACGAGAAAGACACTAGATGGACAAAGTAGAACCTGTTTTTCGTAAGTTCGGTGACCAAGTCATTAAAGTGGGTTTGTTCACACCTTGAGACATTTTTAAAACAGCACACAACCAGTGCATTTTATTTGAGTGAGACAACATATGAAACTGAAGGTGGCTGTGACCAAGTAGGTGAGCCAACTGATGTGTCTACACGCGAAACAACTTGTGGAGACTGCATTCGATAGAGCGTTCCTAGTTCAATAAAAGCGCACGCAAATTTCCTCTGATAGCATTAAAGAGACAAAACTATTAACCTGAAAAACCACGTAAATATTTACAAAATTTCAGATATGTTCCAGCATCCTGATAGAACAAAGTTGAAGTCCAGATCCGGAAACCATTGCCAGATAACTTCTACGATTTTCATCCATTGTAACAACAGTAAAGTCCTGTGGATCTCCTATACCGGTCATTGTTAGTTCGGACAAAACAGTGAATGAAGGTCCGTCCGCGAGTCTCCATAACACCAACCGGTGATCGGCACCCAAACTCAGTAAACAGTCATGGTGACATAGACCTATGACTTTGACAACTGCCGCATTGTGTTGTCTTGCCTTGGCAATCCAAGTGCCTTCCATACTGGCCAGTCGAATGGTCCCGTCGTCTGCTGCAACGACGAGGCCTTCAGAAATAAGGGAAAGCGAATTCGCTGCACACGTGCCAAGCGAACCCGTCACAGGATTTTCGACTTCCACGTGCGTTGAGAAAAGGCTCCTGTAGACCTCCCCTTCAGTGTCCGTCTCAAACGCTTCCACAAGTCCACTGGTGTTGCAGTAAGCAATACAGATCTGGTTGTCGGAAGAAAGACTCATGCAGCAGAGATCCAGGATGCAATTCCTCTTTCGACCTCTGCAAAAGTTCCGCAATTGGCGGAATCCCGGCAGCCCTCCTCTCGTCGTTGTTCTAAGCAGGTCGACCTTTATAAGTCTGAAATGAAATGTGCACAGTTAGAGAAATCCCACAGAAGTAGAATAACATTGTATACATTAAGCGGGCCGTGCATGCCATGTTAGGCCCACGGCCACTGGAAGAACAACAAAGGGCACAGACGCTGCATCACATTGGCACGCGTGAACATAAATCATGCATTGCCTACGGGCATTAAATCGCTCCTGTAGAAACAGGCACCGAATGCCTGGGCGAGCGAGGAGCCCAAAGTCGAGCGTGTGTTGTTCTACCACAACCGGACGGACATAAAATTTGGCTTCGAAATACTTGACACTAAGAAGGGCTGAAAGATGCAGCTGAAGTTAACCTAAGGATTTCCACTTATTACCGGCAGATAAACCAAATTCAATACAAATTTTTAAGCAAACAATGAGGGTGCGACGCTTTCTGCCGACATCATGAAAACGTTAACAGCGAAGTACTACTTTAAGATATCAAAATTTGATTTTTCATTAATACGTGAATGCAAATTAAAAAAGTATTTCACGCAAGATTCATAGTGAACAGGCATTAGGGCTTGGGCGGAGGGATTTTTCCTGCGCATACCTAATGAACAGTTGGACATTGCTTGCTATAAATTGAGTCCGCATAGGAGGAGGAAACGTAACTGAACCAGGTGGGGAATTTGCGTTCCTCGTGGTGAATCATGCCTCCACAATTCAAAAATTCAATGCATGGTCACGGTAAAGAAACGTTATAACGACATTTCGGACCGTCCTAATATGAGCTTAAAACAGCGTTATTTGAGGTTGTGAAGTCAGGTCGAATGGGCCACTAAAATGGCTAGCAAAAACACCCATTATGCAAATATATGGACTAAACAATAATGAGTACCAGTCTCAAAAGATTATGCGAATTAGTCAAGTAAGTGCGTTCAAAGAAGTTTACTTGTGGGAAACGTCTTTTTTAGTCAATTAAACGAGTAAAAAATTGCGAACGCGACGTTCCCTGTCACCTCTTTTTCGCACACACAAAAATGCTGCACCAAGAACTGGCACGGGTATAAACTGAAAATACCCTTCAGTGGGATCATGAAAGGCGAATGCATTAAGATGGAAGCCTTTTGGAAATTTGACGAAAAAAATAAGTATTATTCTACAGCTTGAGCCAACACTTAGGCAAGAAACAAAAGTAACTGTAGATCGGATAGAGATTTTTAATCAAATATACAAACATTTGCTTCTATGAGCCGGATTTCATTGAATGAACGAGTAAAAAATCCAAGCCACTTTTGACAGGGTTTTAACGTTAAGCTAACTCCTTTGTACAAAGTACGTAAGGGTAATCGCAAGTGTGGACTAACTAAAACCCTCGAGGTAGATGCTAATAATAAACCTGTAATGCTACATTTCAACTACACAAGAAACATAATGGTGCATGACTGTTAAAAGCTGGAACTTGAGAAAAAGTAATCAACCTCTTTCAAATTGATTCTTAAAAAGGTCCAGCCCGTGTTTTTGACAAACATAAATAATAAATTAGCATCTAGGGCTATAACAATACACTAAAGAGTCAGCTGTGGAAGGTATTGTCTGAGGTTGTCAGAGATACACGTCTAGGCATCCTTGCGTTGATCAAAAACGCAAAACGTCGGGACACTACAACGAGGGCAGTGATGAGGTTAAAAAAAAGTACACGATAGGCTGATTCTAGTCATTGTTGGAGCGGTGCTCGTAGTAAAACAACGGGTTTTCACCCTGCTGGTAAAGCTATTTGTGGAACAGCATTGTTTGGTTTGGCTAAGGCTTCTAGTAAGGTCCTACTTTTGAATAGAGAAAATGAATGCAAGGCTTTGCAAAACGAATTTCTAGTTTTTATGGAGGGAGAGAGCAGTGTCCAATTAAAAATCGCCTCCGTTTTTTTTCTAACTCGCAACATCGTAGTAGTTAATGCAAGTCCGAGACGTGTACTGGTTATAAAGACCTACCGGCATGCTCACCAACCCGGCAAACCGCACCACCAAAGGGAAACCATTTTTTTGGCAAAGGCATCCTATTTCGATGTCCTCTCTGTAACCTCTGTTTTAAAGCTTTGTCTGATATGAAAAAAAACAAGCATAGGAAATGCTTACGGTTTCGCTAGGCTTTCAAAGCACCCAAAAAATTGCATTAACAAATGACAATTTAAAGTCCACGGAAATATTTGCATTGAGAAAGGGGCTACCAGCGCCATTAGATCGTGAAACGCCTTTATTCTCCATTTAATAAGCAGTCTAATGGTAAAACTGCTTGGTTAAAGGTCTGAAAAACGGATGAGCATTGAACTAAAATGAAAATTTACCTGAAATATTAGCCAAATAGGGTTCAAGGTGGTGCAAAATATTTTGAAATAGCAAATAAATGCGCAGTGGGATATTGCACAAGGGTCTTAAGCACAAATCCACATTCGAAACCATATTTTTTTTCGAAAAACCGATCGATCTGGGTTCATCCACCAATGTATTGCTTAATGCCAAAATAAGGCCGAAGTGAGAAGCACAAGAGACCTACCAGAAACATTTCAAATACGATCCAAACTCGATATATCAGAAATGTCTCATTAATAACGCAACTACAAGAGAAGAACTGACGAATGTAGCAAGCTTACTGGCTAACACATCCTCGTAAACAAAATGTGCAAAAAAATTAGATGTTAGTACCTTATTTTTACCAGTCCCTTGTTTTAAAATTAGTTGAGTAAGTCAATGAATATTGTTTTGCTAGCGATTGTCAGTAACGTGTGGTTAAAAATGGCGCTTCCTTTTTGAGGTCAATCTGAGCTTCCTGGATTCTGACACTTCAAAGCGGAACCACAGTTTCAACCATGAGGGTTAGTGCGTGAATTACTGCATCGCTGTTCTGCCAAATGCAAACGGTGGGAAGGTTCACAAATGTCCACAAGGCGTAGTTTCTCCCATTCACTAAGAAATGTTTTTAACATTTAAGCGGTTAATAATAAGAGACGAGGAAATAAGGAAATCAGTAAGAGTGAAGATAGAATACAGGCGAAGCTGTCATTCGGCCGATAATACCGACACACGTGGCATCTCGTGTGACGCCCAACAAACAAGCCGATTATTCTTCTAAGAGGAAATGGAACGATATTACGCCCGATTAGCCACATTTTGACTGTGATGCGTCCTCAAGTAAAATAAAATGCCAAGCATCCTTTTCAGATCGGTCAAGGTTATGGCAAAAGTATGCGCTGCGTCTTCGAAGTCGTTATTTTAATCAGGTGCTTAAGCATGAGAGGGGCGTATTCACGCTACCATTGTTCCGTTGCACAAAGTTCGAGTTACGCGAGACAGCATCGGGTGAGTAGCGCTATGCACGGCAGCTTTAGCTCTTTCGTAGAACAACAAAAACTAAGTCCCATGAAAGTCAAGTTAACAAAAATAGAAGGTCACCAGTGAGATCAATGGCGCTTAGCTTAACTGACCGCAAAAACAAACCAAACTTTATTTACGTTTTGCCTTTTGAAAAAAACTCAACCAATCAGGGTTTTTAGAGCCTAGTGACCACTCAAACGAACCGACACGACTATCGGTTAGTACAAAATGATGGTTTACACCAAGCTACCAAACATGTTAACAATCGCGGTAGAAGTTGGGTAAAGTTTGCAACTTACTGAGGTTTACACGCATTGCTCTGGGCTTTGGCAGGCATATCACGATGATTTATCTAAACATCGCGTAACAGTGTATCAGAAGAAATAGAACAAACTGTTTAGGAAATAGACACGAGAACGCAGTTAATTTAACCAAATAAAACGTACATGCTTTTAACATAACTTCAGTTTCAAACGAAGTTTTGGAAAAATTCAGACAAACCAGCTCATTCCATGTCGTTTTGCAAATAAAAATCTCGGTGGAGGAAAACTAATGTCAGGTGAAAACACGCACGAACCAGAAGCTGCGTCTTATACGTTAATTGGCCAGACTGAAAACAAGAATATTTGCTATGGGAAATCATTCAACGAGGATGAAGCTAAGGGGGATATTCAGGTTTCTTGAATCTCAGGCGCACGTCGCTCAGAGAAAGTCACAATAAATGCGTGAATCGGATTATCGAGTGGCGGTTGATGTGATTCTGTCAAGAGGAGCTGACAGAAGCCTCGCGACTAGCTAAAATTGGCACGGCCACTTCTTAAAGAATGCTGTCAGAACACTCTTTTCGAATCGACATAGCAGTACGAGGCTGGTTTGAAGCGTTCAAGAAGCAATCCTGGATGATAAATGGCTTTTCGTGTCTGCCAAACACAATTTGAACGTTTCCAGGAACCTGGAATTATGTACACGGAATATTTCAGTGAAATTAACGTCACTGACTGCTTTGGAAAGTGCGTCACGGGTCACTTCCTTCAGTAGGTAAACGGATTAGCATTCAAAACTCGACAAAAACTCAGAGGGCAACGTGTACCCTGGCATAAAAGCAAATCGAAATAAACATTTCGAACTACGAAAACACGCAATCGATCAATTACCCAAATCAAGTACCTAATGTGTCTTGGTATTCCGTTTTCCCAGTAAATCTAAGTGTAATCACATTAGTGTTCACAAAACTTGAATTTCTTTTACAAATTGTTTGAAATGCACACACGTTCTTCAATCCACAAAACCGTCTCCCACAAAGCCCATTCAAAATGAAGTGCTTCCCTGAAAAACGATACTTGAGCATTTCGAAAACTCGCAGTTTGGGCTTTACAAAAAAACGTTATGAGATGAGGAGAGAAATTAATACAAACTGGTGACCGAGAAGATGCTTGCTGCTTGCAAAAATGCACCATAAATAGCAACTGGCAGTTATCGTCGGCAGAGTCACCGACATAACAGTGAAAAATGAATTATGGCGCCTCTTTTTAAACATGCCTATAGCCACAGCATTCCCTCGTTAATAGATTACACCCGAGTTAACCTCAGTATTTGGGGAGACAAAACAAAAGTAAATACAACATATTCTCACTACAAATTGCGTTTACCAATCAGCGTTGCATACGCCATCATTTCCCATAAGTGTCACTGAACGTGTTGCCGATTGTTGAACCCATTTTTTGTAAAGACAAGCGTGGTTTCATTTTAAAGACTGTAAAACCAAAATATTTTGAAGAGAACAAGACAGACAAAAATAGAACAAATCAAGGTCAGGGAGATACAGTAGATGAGGGAAGAGTTCCAGCGTATGTTGAGTGACACGAGGTATATCGCTGACTTGATTGAGAATGTTGCCCTTTCGATTGACCACCAATGTACGCTTGGCATGCACTTCAGCACTCAATGGTACGAGTTGCTCAAAGCACGACTTCGCAGTTGTTGTTCGAGAACATGGAGGAAACTCAATAAAAAAACTGTTTCTCCATTACCCTCCCACCAGACGCACAACGACACACGCATTACAAACACCGATTCAGCGCCCGTAACTAATTCTGTTCTTTCGCTTCCACACCTCCTGCCGCTTTATCTCGCTTCCTTGCCAGACGCCAACCACTGTTCATCTCCACTCGGCCATCTATCCACAAATAGCCTGCTTTGTTGACGCACAAGAAGAGAAACGGCTGTGGAGGCACAGACAAGTGCACCCTGCCATGTCCAAACGAACGCAACCCACCTGTCGAGGTTCCCAATATAGGCTGGTTGCGAAGTGCCGCCAATTCGCCAGCATTTGGTCGCCCAGATACCTCTCCAGTGGTAGCCCGTGGAGTGTTGATCAGCAAATCCCGAGCAAAGCCAGCAGCAACGCCTGAAGGTCGACCAGAGCAGCGTCTACCCAGCAGATTAAAGTCACTCGGTCTAAGTCAACCAAACAGCTTCTTAACTGCTCGAAAAGCAGGAGTACTTGCCAAATAAACGTCCTCCGTGTTTTTTTCGTTGCAGTTCTAAGTTCTGCTCCATTTTTAAACCCACATAGCATGACATGACGAAAATGCGACTTTGCTGGATTGCAACCTCGCGTACAAATTAATTTGAACAAACTTTTTCCTTGGGGTTGGGATGACTTGCGACGCACTTGCATTACAGTCCGTTAATCATATGGTTGTAAAAAAACTACCAGAATGGTTGAAAGTTCATGCTCTCGACTCTAGCAATCACCGAACACAACAAGCAGTAAGAAAAATCCGTTTTTATTTTAGGGCATGGGATGACAAAAAGACAGCCAGATCAGTGAGTCACCTGGACATTGGTGTAGCACTCAGATGACGCGAAACAGCGCGTTGTCGAGAGAATTGCAAAAGAACGTACAACTACCACTGAAAACATAAACAATAATGCATGTGACGCAACAGTAATACTGGCCAACTATTTTCGTACACGCAGGGTTAGTTTTTTTTTAGAAGCATCGGTGAACCAACCGCGTTCAAGTACAAAGGATGTTTTGAGGATAACCCGTTCACATTTTTTTAATTTAACGGAACAGGTCTTAAAACAACCATTGCCAATTGCTATAAATCTTCTTCCATCTATGTTACAAACATTTTATACCCTGTTTTTATAACACGAAGGTGACTGTGAGATAAAATGCTCTAATAAACAATCCCATTAATCTGAAAAGGTGGAAACCCGACTGAAGGATATCAGAAACTACGGTAGATGAGGCGGTAAAAAGTCTGAAATTATCATGTTGGAAAACGATATATGCTTGGTTATTCATCCATAGAAGCTTTTGAAGTTAATTGACGTATCGTCTCCCAAGCTGCTCACAATAACACCCAAAAGTTATGGTCGGATTAAATTTCTAAACCCCGAGTTAAATAAGGCCCCAGCATCAAGGAAGGGGTAACGACAATTGTCTAGGATCTAAACGCTGCTTTTGCGCATATGTGGTTTGCTGAATTGAATTAATGCCAAATTGGAAATAAATGGATTTCTTTCTAACCCTGGCGACAGTTAACTCCAGGTGTTTACTCAAAAGAATTTAAGCTCAGTAAAAGTTGGTTAGGTGAACATATATATTTTTGCTTAATACCCTATTCAGTTGTTTCAAACAATGTTGCGCCATGTATCGTGTCGCCAATTATTTAGCAGTCTACATGTACTCAAAGTATATTTCAGCAAACTGTGTATTTTTTTTGTTGTAGTCAATGCGACTTTCAGATTTGAACTAGTCACCGTGCTAAACAATTTCAACCCAACACTGGTAAACTCTGATTTCTACGGCAAATACCAGACCTGCGGTAGCAGTTGCCTTGTTTTCCTAGCGAAAATGCAGAAAACCAGAGGTCAAATACGCATACCGAACATAGCCTCGTCATCACTTCACTAAGGTGGCCTCAAACCGCTAAACACTTACCGTAAGTAAGCATGTCAAGATAGAAGATTACTTTATGGATTTGACAATAGTAAACAACGGCCGCTAACAAAATGACAATGTTTATTCATTCTGAAATACAAAGTCAAAAGTAACCAGACCGTCAACACACACTGATTCCTGTGTGCAGCCGTCAAACGGTCGATTGTTCAGTAAGCAACCATTGTTAGCCGAAGCAGTTAGTGCGAAAACAAAGTAATCGACCTGATCCTTGAAAAATGTGGTTATTTGTTCCTGTTGTGGGCGGAAAATCGTGCCCCAGAAATGGGGAGGAATATTAATCAACGGCGACAAACTGAAGTACGTGTTTCGTTGTACTAAGCAACAAGAATGAGAATATGGAATGACTTGAATGTCGGTTGATTTAATAATACGGACTTAAAATTGTGTTAAATATCCGAGTGCTTCTGACACCCTATAAAAAGGTACTTTTAATGGGTGCGACAAGCTTTTACATTTAGCAATGCAAGGCACCGATCAATGGCTGGAAAAAGCAACCAATTTGTAGCGTGATGTAAAGCGACGGCATTAATTTTATAGCCGTACGATAAAAAAATCGGATGTCCCATATTTCTCGGATCATTTATTCCACAGAAACCTTTAACAGAACACGTTCACACGGATTGTTTTTTTTTACATCAACATGAAAGGGTGTGTTTGGTAGTTCATGTCAAGCAACAACGCGAACTACGCAAAGATTAGATCAAACTGTTTACCGAACTAAAAATAAAACCTTAAAAACGTCACAGCCATCAACACTTTTGAATGAACATCATTGAAGTCGCTGGTGGTTAACACACATATTTTTGGGGTTTAACCGGTTAGGCTCATTAAAAATGTCCCTAGTAAACACAGGCAGATGTTTGATTGAAGAAGTTTACCTTAGCTGATGGTCGGCCACTAAACCACCCTGGCGATCAAGACATATCGCGGCATTGTGCTACCATAAAAAGTCTAGAATAAGGCCACATAATTAGGAGCTACATTTGTTGAATGAAAACCATTACCTTGGTTTTTATGGGTTAGTTCTAAAGGGGTTTCAGTCGATCCCATTCTAGAGTTCGTGGCAATAGTCCAAGAGACAATTCAAAATACTCAAGGCCTTAAAATTATTCCGGACTCGACGCGGTATCTCGAATATACAATCACCGAAATTCATTAAATTGGGCAAGTGTAATTAATTTTAGAGCAGAAACAAGATCCCAAGTGTTAAATTGGTAGGGGCAAATTGGTTTCATGTTTCTCAAGATTCATTCAGGATTCGCACTACTCTGGCAGGCAACCACATACATCGGAGAGTTACAAATTGCACGAATGCATGTGTACTTTCCCAACCGCAAATTAAAAACTGACAATTTTACTAGGGCCGAAAATACGACATAATATGGTGTAAACTAAACGTTTTTAAAGTAATTTAAAATCTCGGGTTAGTACATTTTTACAACAGCACGGGGAAACGTTAAGAACTCGAACATGGCCTCAGCAGGGGACGAATCGCAACAAAGATTAAGTGCCATTTTTGAACTAACATATTGGTCCAGTTTTAAAAATTTCGATAAAAAAACCGAGAAATATCTTGTACCCGATACATCGCCAAGGCGGATACAGCAACTGCGACGCTACCAATATCTACTAACGTTTGGATCAAGAACACATGCGCATAGATCGTAAATCGGCTCGGTGCAATGTTCGCCTCGTCTTCAGAATGTGCATCCACACACACAAATTACTCACACGAGCCTTACTTCATCTGTAAATCACACACGCTCGCACCCACACTACAAACGGTTGCTTTCCCAGAGATACTTTCGCACATTCTACTCTCCCATTCAACCGCAGTTCATTGGTCAGGCTAAAGGTGACCGTGCAACTGCGCCGACAACCGTCGATACTTGGTCACATTCACCACCTGCACACACACACCCAACTACCGAACTAACCACCCACTCACCCAGAACTGATCTCACACTCGGGTCAGGACATTTTAAACGACACGCTCATGCGTTTAACAGAGATATCGAACCTTTTAACTAACAAGGAGCCTCTTCGGGAAATTGACGTGATCCCAGAGGACTATACCACCTGCAAAGGTGTCCATCAGGTGTGACGAGGAGGTACCTGATTTGAATTGCCCCGCATCTTATAAACTTAGGTTGAGCTAAGGAGAACTAAAACCGATGACGAAATGGTACAAAGACAGCTTGCACAACGTTTGACCCGTGATGCTGTGGCTGCTCAATTGCTATGACGTGTCGCATAAAGCACATGATAACCGTTTAGTACCTGATACTTCCATCCGAGCACCCAGCAACAACAAGTAAATGCTCCAGCCGCTGAAATCCAAGAAGAGTCATAATTCTCAGATCACAGACGCCATTCATCCCCTTTTTTCTGCGCGCACGTGAACAACTGACGAGAGTTCCTTCTTCCCCTCCACCAGAGTCTAAACACACCCAACCAATCAGGCCAGGCTCGCATTCTTGCAGACGCCAGATGGCCAGCATGCCGCGTCCACCGCCAGAAACCAGGTATCTCGGAGGCGGTTGTGGCGCGTCTAGCGGTTGACAGAAAGCAAGGCACCGAATATTTGAGATGTGCCCTGCATGAAAGCGCGGGGAAGAGTGGTAGGTGACTGAGAATTCATCCTTATCTGTCAGAAGGGCGAAAAAATACAACTATAGAGAATCTATTTTATCGCAGTTGACGGTGAAATGAGAAGACTGTAGAAAAAAAAAACAAAGTAAATATGCTGCATATGAGCGATTTCCTATCGATTTCATGGCAACATATATTTCAGGCCCTTTCTGATATTAAGGTCACACTTTGTCTTGAGATTCTGAAAATTAACGAAAAAAGAGCCAACAATTGTGCGTTTTGAAACATCACAACAGAACTGAAGCGTTTATAGCTGGAAGGGAAACTTCACACTTGCTAGTGCAGGCATGCGAAGTTATTTTTAAGGCAGGAGAATTTGCTATTGAAATATCACCAGAGTGGATCCCACGAACCAGCATAAGGTCGGCTCGACCCAGATAACGCGACCACATGGGTGCCTAGCAAAATTTTTTTTTGGTTACATCTGAGAGAGCATAAAAATAGTTTAGCGCGAATCCACTTCACACACATACACAATTTCGCCCACAAAACACCTAACTTTGTCCACATTCGAGGTGCATTATGGACGTACATTCAATTGAGAATTGACGACGGAGGCATTCACCCTTGTTTTTACTATTACTGAAGGTCACCTAAGTATTAATGTGCTGTCAATAGCACAGTGAGCAGTGATGATTTATACCAGCTCATCCCTTTTTCAAAATTTAGTGAACGGGGGTTGTTAAAAAGCACCTGCGAGACACAAAACAGAACCTAGCAACGCAAATATTCGTAAATGGGTCGAAGTACCGTGTACATGGCTATGCAAAAATATAGCCTTCATGCAACCCATTGTACTGTGTGGCACGGTTTTGATCGTTCAGCTTGGCGAATGAAAAGGTGTCCGAATATGGAACAGAAGCCCGTTAGTTTATTACTTCTACTTTGTGCACATATGCGGGGTGGCTCATGTTATCTGTCCTAAACCCAATGGTTCATGTAAACTACATGTCATTGGGATACAAGTTTAGCTTCGTTGAACGGTCGCGCATCTGCTATGCACTTGGAATTTGTCTTAGGATTGCATAATAGAAGCTTGCTTCGATTAATTGTAGTTCCGCATAATAATCAGGGCGAATTAGAGTGAATTAAAGCCCTTGTGGAAGACATTGAAGCCTAGACAAACAGGTCAGGCTAAGGAGAGATGACGATGCGAGGATTAAGCAAACCCGCGTTCAAGTAGACACGCTCATCTTCCTGCCTGTGGTAACACTACACACACACACACCCTCCTTCCCGTCTCGTAGGTCAGGAGCGGCAAGACTCCTAGCAAAGCGTCTCGCTTGTCAGAACTTGTACCTCACTTGATTATTTTACCGAAATGCAGCGATTGACAACTGTCTTAAGCAGCATACCTTTATCGGCCTCCCATATTTGTTCGTGTCGGGCATGCACAAACATAATTCGAATTAAACGACAATTCCCAGGGTCAGATACGAATATGGGTTAACTGTCCATTTTTAGACACAATCTGTACATATCTTTCTCACACAGGATCAAGTAAATGCCGACGTAAATAGATTTCAGGTGGTTCAGAAGTTGCCTGACTAAAGAGTCCCTCGAAGGCACGAGTCACGTGCCAGTGAAGCTTGGCCTCTTCCTGTTGGAGATCCAGGATTCCCCAAGACTGCTCATCACCAATTTTTGTCATCATTTACGTTAATTTATAGCGCTTTTTTATCAGGTCAGGGTCAACCTTGAGTTGAATTAGTGGACACTTGAAAACTCACTCGCATGTGGCTGACACGATTAAAGCTCTCTACACGAGCTCTGGTCTTGTTAGCGTGGGAAGGTCGGCAGTAGCGTCAACAAGGGATCTGGTTCCGTTAACTAAGCATGTGTTTCCCCTTGTTACGGGCAAACGTGACACCTCTCACGACGAAATAGCCGAAGATATCAGATCCCGTTTTAATACCTAACCTAATTAATCGTCAGTTGTGTTTGATGCAATTCGCTTGCACTATTCAACTCGCATATTCTATTGCAATAAAATTTAACCTAAAATGCGAAACGGAGACCAAGCAATTATCATTATGTAGGACATTGTGTGTGAAATGAAGATTCACAAATTCAATGTGTCAAGTGCTAACCTCAAACTCAAATCAGGGAGACTTCAAGTAGAAATGCTGGCGACTTCGACATAACAAGCTATAAAAACGCTGCATGGCAATTGGTCCATTTAGGAAAAAAAGCTACCTAATGATAAATTGTACTTTATAACATTACGGCCGATCCACGTAACCGTCTTGAGACAGATTGAAATCTTTACCCTCAGGTTATGGATGAACAGTAATGCAGTAATACGAAAAGCTGAAATAAACGCCAAGGGAAATATATTCTGGCTTACCGTTGACACCCTTTACTTGTTTCACGTCCATCGAAAAACTGCCCAAGTGGCATTCCTCACTGCCCGTGAGACAGGTGATTGTCAAGGAGCCTTTAAATAAGTAAAGCAACGTAAGCCAACACCGCTGTGTTTAAATAAAGTCGGTTTTAACTAGGTTTTGCTAAAATACCTTGAGTCTTCGATGTTACTTTAAGGGAATTCTTAAAATTCCGCTAATTTACTAAACACAGAGGCCAAAAATTTGCTTCGGCTTAAGTGGATTACGTGTTTGTTTTCCCAGATTGGCTTTATCGGAAGGACCTTGGCAGAATCTGGGTCGGTGTTTTCGTAGACAGAGGAGACGAAGTGGATTTTAAATTGGAATAACACGACGAGGTGGACGTCGTGAGCCTACAACAGCACTGATGCCTAGCAGGACTGGCGGGTGATTTTGCAGACGGGTATGACGTGCTGCCTTACAGGAGAAATGCTGTGTGGCCAAAATGCTAGTAATAAGGCTAGATAATAAATGCTGGTTGTCAGAATAAGATCAAAGAGGAACCTTGAGTTCTCCTGTCCACTTGGGGGAGCACGATACAAGCGTTGATATCCCTGCCATGCAGGGGGGGCTGAAAACAAAATACCGATAAAAGTAGTCAGGCAACCTGTGGTCGTTCAAGTGCAAGAGAAGCTAAACAAATGCATCCCAACCAACTTCAGGTTTTAAAAGTCATGTGCGAACATTTAAGCATGTGCCGATAAGAAATACCCTGCCAAATAGTCAGGAAATTTCCCTATAAGAAATGAAAATAACAGCGCTTATGCCTGAGGATGTTCCGATTAAAAAAAAACATTTTTTGCATCGGCAACGCTACTGTCTGGGTTCTTTGACTGTTATAGCCCAGCTATACAAATCAACAAGCCTACCACCATGCAACAGTTTTATAGCCACGACAATCGACGCGACTTGCATGTTGCACAAAGCCGGCGAAAATTACAAGCCCGACAAATACCATAACTCTTCCACAAAGACGCTCAACTGCGTCTTCCTTATTTCACGTTTTTTTTCATGACCATTAAAGATGGAGCTAACTTAGATTAGACTCACTGGCCAAACAGAAAGCCCGTATTTGAAATTGCTACTTCAAAAGTCGAGGAAACGCGCTGTTAGTGCATCCAAGGACTGGCAAATTAACTTAATCCTAGGAAGACTCTGGCATGAAAGAAAGTAAACAAGGTATCGAGAGAAGCCAACATTTCTCACAGACCGAAAAAATGCCCCCAATAACAGACCATGGAGTTCACACAAAACCGTGTGTGTTCGATTTGATTTGACTGACGCCCGTAGATTTATAAGACGCCTATGCGGAATAAGCTCAAGAGCATGGGATGAAGCCATGGTGAGAGTGGCAGAGCTGTATAGCACTACCAAATCACTCTGTCTAGGTAGAAAATCAGAAACAGGAAACTACCTATTGATTATTCAAGTTCCAATCCGGGTAATTATAGCAGCCATAATGCCTTTTAAGTATCTACAATCGCTGACCATGGCAGGTGAATATAGTAATGATAAAAAGTGCCTGACTGACTTACAATAAGAAATTTCTTCGTAGCGGCACACTTTTCTCGAGGCTCTGTTGCGTTTCTGATGGCATACACAAGCTTGTCTTTCTGGATGGCAGCGAACACGAAGGCATCTCGGTGCGGGTCGTACGCGAAGTCCCAGGCCCTATTTCCACCGGCACAATCCACGGAGAAACGAACATCGCCCCTGTCGGAAGTCATGAAATCGGTTCCAGCGGGGACGAATTCCACAGCATGGAATTCTGTCTGCAAGAGATTGTGAAAGAGGAAGAATTTATCGACAAAACTGTTCTGACATGAGTTGTCATTTTTCACGAGCAACACTTGGGACTAAATAAAATGTATTTACAACGAGCATTGAATTTGAGGCTATATTTTGCGTAACTGTGCATAGATCATTTGCTAATTATACCTGGAAATCCAATTGAATCAGGCCTTCAAAGAGCATCGATGTTGGTGAAAGCAAAAACTACGCACTGATAAGGAAAGAACTTAATTACAAATTACATGGGAAAAAAGACAAAGTAGCCCTCAAAAAACGATAAAAATATTTAAATAGGAAATAAAGGAAGGGAACAAGGAAAATACATTGTGAGATGCAAGAGTGACGAACTAGAATACTTACTTGAAAAAAGGAATGAGAGTAAGTAACAGAAAAACGGAGGTACGAGAAGTCGAGACAGACTCACTTGTAAAAATTTAGCTTAGTAAATCAAAATGTCGCTTATTTCCCCTTCAAATCTCCCCGTCATCATTAACAGTTGCAAAAAATGTAACAGTGAGCCAGCGGTGGTGAAGTTGAACAAGTAAAGACGCAATCACCACGCTATGGCAAAATAGCAGACCACCTTGACGACAAGAGAGCGAGCAGTTATGGACGGGTGGAGAAGACTTAGGTTACATCCCTTTGTTTGGGTTCAAATGCGGGTAGTTATGGTGTTGAAACGGTTGTCTGTGTAGGAGAATGCGCATACAAACCAGGAAGTGGGTTAATCACTAGGCCCATCACTGCAGTTGATCAAAAGGTATTTCTACGTTTTCGAAGGAGCAATTGATTTTTGTCACGACGAAAATTCAGTAGGCAAGCAATTGCGTTTATAAATTCCTAGAGAACTGTAAACAACCCGATGGAATTCACTCAAACATAAGGAATAAATCTTGTGTGATGTAAATTGCTCAGTTCAACGCGCCTCCAAGTTGATACAAATGCTGAAATTAATTCAAACAGGTACATTTCGCCTAATCGTGGCAAGGTGGACAGCTGAGAAAGTCAAGTCACCGATTTGCTGGGAGCAAATGTGCAATTTGATGGAACCTGGGAAAGGATGTTCACGACAGTGACAAAAGAGCAAATTTAGCAACACTGCGCTACACAGAACAACGGCAGGCTGTTTAGAAAGCGGTTGAAAATGGGGAAAGAGGAGGAGGAGTACGGGGGGGGTGCAACAACGCATTAACTCATCAGCGCGAGGCAGCCGGCAAGCAGGCATAGACCATGACCGAACAGGGACAACTGTGTCCGCGCTCGCGCTGCTGGACCAACTCCAGTCAAGTCACCTGGGTACCACTTGAGCCGATGTGGAGACATCAAAACATCCCGGGAGCACGACAGGGGATCGGGGGTAAGCCCGATTAATAGGTGCACTTATTAAGGTGACATCAGACTGTGGTAAACACGACACTTAGGCATGCTGTCCAGACTACCACAACCAGTACTGGGAGTTTGGTAGTTCTCCGTGTTGCTTCCATTCATTTATGACTGTGGACATTTGCCAATTTGTTACAATGCTATCATAAAAACAAGAAGCAAACAGAAATACGGTTGTAAGGGATCGTTGCAGAGACATTAAGGTTCTTTCACTGGGTTGAATTTACTTTAATACTCTCTGAGCCTGTAAGGTTCTTTAGTCCATCTAATTTCAGATTAAAAACTACCGAGGTGGTCGATCATTCCTTATTTTCGAATTCCAGTGTACCCACGTTCACATTCGAGTAAAATAATCGCTGAGCTTAATTCATTAGCCTCCCACAAATTGGCAAGCGTCCTACTGCGTAGATAAAGTCAAGACCTCTAAAACAATTAGGAGTTTAATTTCCAGTCTAAAATCGGTTCAGAGACACAAAGTTGCAGGCTAATTTAAGGAGCACTTTTACGAAACCTACTTAGCAGCTGTCTCAACACACTGCAGCAGACAGCGTTACTTTCATGCTCAATGGCTATTATTGTGATTTTTGGAGCTATTTGAACGGAGCTAATCAAAAAAATCCACCCCACAGTTGTTCCGCCACAGTGAACCGTTTTGCTATGAACAACTTCGGTGATTAACAAACCTTTCGGTTGGGTGAGTTGGCAATCAAGATCGATCGTGATTAAAGGTAGTAATCAAAACTTAAGAAAAGCAAAAAAAATTTACTAGTAACTCTTCGTGCTAGTGTGGCAGAGGTGCTGGTGTTATGGAAGTAGCGGACACAGCCGTTGTTTGCCCGATCCGGACGGATTCCAGTGGGCGGAATAATAAAAAAAAGCAGTTTTGCAAGTACAAAGGTCAGCCACTAAAATGTGTCTGACAAATGAGATGATCACACCAACCACGGCGGATGCGGGTTACAGTCATTCCGACAGGCCACATTAGGTGCTACCAGGCGGTGGAATTATTTCCTGCGATGATTCCGGCTGATTATGCAATTTTACCGAGGACAAATGGGAGTCTACGAGTCAAAAGAATATTGCGAAAGGCAGATTGTGGTTAGTAGAGACCAATTTTTATGGCATTGAGAATGACACTAAAATGGGTCCTCAGTAAAACTCCGTTATCAAAAAAATAACGTGGGGAATAAATGCTGGAGACAGCAGGCTTACGAGATTCAACGGAGCGAAACCCCGATATTGTGGCACTGGAAATGTGTGACTGTTGAACTAATGCGAGGCCACAGAAAAGAACTTGAACGATTGGTATACGACATTAAAATACAAGCTACCATTCAAAATATTAGGTGTGTGACTTAATTGGTGAAGATTTTTTCTCCTAGCTTGAAATGATATTTATAAGATAAAAATATCTTCGCGGTCTTTTGTGGTTTTGAATGGATCAGAACGACACCGAAAGACAAGTCCGCGTGGGTTACATAACCCCTCCCCCACCCGAATAGCAGTTTACGGTGACAACTGATAAACGGCACTTTATGCGAGTTAAAACAAGGAAAAAATGCTTCTAAAGCACGGAAGTCAATTTGTAGTGTTCTTACTACCGACGTCGTATCCTATGAAACGTGTAATTATTTGTCGGTGGTCCTGCAAATGTCAAGTCATTATGATAAACTTTACCAATCAACCTCTGGGTTAGCCGTAATGGACAGAGAGATTCTGTATTTCTATAGGGAAGAAAAATCCGAACACAGATGAAAGATCGAGGACACAGCATTGAAACACATGAAAATCGAAAACAATAAATAGCGATTTAAAAATGATCCCCGCGAAGCCGAGTATGATGGGTCGGTTAAATTGTAGAAACCCCAAAGGCTCACGCCAATGTTTTGATTTCACTCACCGAAACAAAGCCCAGCGCCAGGACCTCGCCGGATGGAAGGCCAGCGAAGGACCCGATCCATGAGAGACCAGACGGCTTCAGCACCTGGTCCAGGGCTTGCAGACTGACCCCACTGCCACCGGTGACGACCAGCCTCCATCTGCGTATCCTGCCCTGCAAACGCCCGGCTGTAAATACTACTGGCGGCGAATCAACGTCATTATGAAGAACTTGGAGCGCAGTCACGCCGCCACGTCCGTGGCACTGCTTAAGCGACCACGCGGGGTTAATTTTCATCGGCGTCTGCAAGTATAGAAAACGATTACACATGAGTCTCCCGACATCCGGTGTACGGACATCCATCCCGACGGTTTAAAACGCTACACGGATTCGTGAATTCGCGAGCCTCGCGTTGCACATTTATTCCGAAGAATAACTATGACATCGATCGGTTGGAACGTAAACCACGCCAATGCTCAGAGGGGAAAACGGAAACCTGGCTTGAGGAATGGGGAAGTGACATGCGTCGGGATTCAAGGTATACCAGATGCTATTTCATAACAACTGCGCTCTGATTAGATGTCCTAGTCAAAATTACAGCATGACGACAGGAATTGGTGAAACAAATTTCAACTAGTTGTTCTGATTCTGCTCATGATACATGCCAGATAGAGAGCTTCATGTGAATTATCTGATACCTCTTTGTGCACTAAAATGGGCGCTTGGTGGATTGACAGAAGCTTGTGAACGAGGTGCCCTGTTTCGGTACAGCCCTCCAGCGTTAAATAAGCGTCCCACGGGACATTCTTACTCAATACTTCGTAGGTTGACTTTTAAGCGCAATTCCAAGCCGGTAGTTTTGTTAAATTGAATGATAAGCCGTCAGCCAACTACGTCGACCAACAAAAAAGTGGAATTTTCGCTGATAAAGGACTTATTTACTGGAACGACATTGCAAAATATCGCCTCACTACTGTTTTGATTGAACACTTAAAACAAAACCTAATACATAAAGTGAGCGGTACCTTCGTACCTTCGAGAGTGGTCGGTCTTTACTTTGATAAAAATGTACTTTCTTGGATGTGACAGCGACATGGTTTTCATTTAATCAAGTCATTTGCTTGGGTTTAAATTTATGTCCTACCTTTTAAAAAAGAGAAAAGTACTAATACAAAAAGCATTACTACCAGGAAACGATAATGGGACTAAATGAGATCGCATTATGGACAAATATAAAATTTGCATTTTGCGGTTGCTCATTCAATGATATTCCACTAGAATTACGCCTCAGACACGTAAACTAGAGAGCTAGGAGTTTATTTTGAAAAAAAAAACAAGAGGAAAATTAGGTTGTCAAATTGACACCAAGATGCTAATCGCGGAATGAAACAGGGAACATGAACTACGTTGGACTGCTAATAGCAAAAAAACTTAGAAACGAAGCGAAGCAACGCGCTACGTTGCGCCGACACGAGCCAAACACAGCACCTAACCGAAAATTGCGACGGTTGACAGTTACTCAAAAAAAAACATGTAGCACAGTGTTGTGAACAAGAGAGCAACACGGAGCGTACTGCACCGTTACATTTAAATTCTAACTAGACACTGCTCGGGGATTTCGAGAAAGGTCCAAAGTCAACCTGCCCGTGCAAACACCGTACGTCATAATGCGCTTCACCGAGATTACAAAAAGGGGGACATTTAAAGAGAACTGTCGATATAGTTAAACTAATTTTGACTTCAGTCAACATTCAAATGCTTAAAAAACAATGCAAGGTTGAAGTACACATTCAAAACAGTCTGGCCGGATTTGTCAAACAGCCCCGGTCCTGACTGGCTTTTCTAAAAGAACAAAGAAACGCCATAAAACTGCCTCGTAGCCATAAAACTACCATCACTACGGAAAAGTGCATATTATTGGGCCGAATTTCACCGCCTTTGAGCAGTTCCTTTGATTGTAGTCATTCGTTCGTCAAGGTGTCAAAAATACGGCCAGAGCAAAACGCAAGTCACATTTCATTTGTTGTAAACGCAAGTGTACTTTAGTAAACAAAAAACAGTCCGCTTGGTTCTGAGTGTGACCAGGTGTCAGTTCATTCGATGCCTTTTTTTTCATGGGACGAGAGCGTTCTGCAAGCACTATAATAACATAGGTTCCGTGATTCGCTTCGGGTGGGGTGGAGCTATTTACGCAGTGCCATAAAAATTGCCCGGATTTCTGGTCAGAACCCCTTACGAAAATACACATTACAGAGGACGGAAATTGTGAAACCACGACCAACAAACACAATGTTTTCCTAAGGATGAAATAGTAGTGGTGTAAAGGAATTACATGTAAGGTTACTGAAATTGGGGAACTTGAAACTTGGCATAAATTGGTTCGATTCAACTTTAATTAACATTCACCGAGCACATAAACTTGCCGCAAGTCCACACAACCAAAACGATAAGCAATCATCGCACCGTGCTGCGTATTACCATGAAACTTGACAAATTGGACACTGACGAGGACGAGTGAGTGTCAGGTGTCTAGGAGGAGGCGATTAACTTTCGGTTTAATTGGGACTTTGCAGGCCATGATCTATCAACGCATGAGAGCATCACAAATCTCGACTTGGCGGGCTTCCGTGCCAAATCCCAAACACTCGGATCAAAGCCACATCGGAACAACAAAAGTTTAAAAAAGTCGTGGCTGTGGGTGGGAAATACAGTAGCGCTCGCAATAAAGTCATGTGAATAAGCTGAGGACACGCGAGTGATATTGAGTGGTGGGCTTTCATTGTCATTTTGTATAAGCTGGATTCCCAAACACCTAGTCAACAGAATAGAAAATACCCAAATTTTCGCAAGTAAAGCGTATTAAGGAACTTTGAAGAGTTTATTTTCCACGAAGAACCCTTTTACGTGCCCTACCGAAGTCCAATCATGCAAAAGTTTGATTTGTGCTTAAGGGACCTTACTGGAACCCATTTCGGCAGCACTCTCACGTTACACTCGAGTCCACCACGACGTTTCCACCCAACTGTCTTTGCCAAAATGTAACACCACAACTAAACTAAGATGGAATATAATGGCACTGGGGATGGTTGGGCCAGCCATTGATCGCCTCCAGTTTTTCCGTTATTCCCACTAGAACTCAACACAATTAATCATTTCTTGCCAATTTTAGGACATTTTGAGTCCTAAAAGCTGCTTACTTCCAAAATATTGTTTGTACAGGCTCTAAGCACAGCTGCGCTTTAATAAAGTGGTAACGTGTTTAATTAATCTCCGTCTTAACGGATTAGAGGACGAGCTTAGTCGAGGGACACCAAAAAATTAATTAACCTCGTGCAGTGACATTAAAATGAACAAAACTGGATTTGCAATAATTCCATCTTCGGTTGCAATAATACATTAAAGGGGGATTGGACAAAATCTAGTGGTTTTAACATGTGTAACACAAGGCATTATTTTAAAAACAGCATATAAGTATTAGTTACCAACCTGAATGAAAGCAACTTTAATATATTTTACAGTTTTGAGACCTAAAGTCTGCAAAGGCTGTTTGAAACTTATCGAAGCTAAGAAAGATGCTGCTGCAATATTTGGTGTGAGGGATATGTTGGTGGAAGAGTTGACCAGCGCTAAGAATGCAGCCAGAGAAAGTGGCCCGTAATAGTCAACTTTTGCAAGGTTGGTCAGTCCAGAGAAGACCCTGCTTCATTGGGATCGATAGTTGATCCACATACCTGACTACTTGTCTTTTTTATTTTTGTGTTTTAATGTGGCAATATTTTTTCCCACAAACATTAACAACGGTTGTTGAACATCGCGCGCACCAAATATACTCCCTTGTTTCGACCAACTTCTGATTACAGTGTAAATTGAGACACAATAAAAAAACGCGCCTGATCGTCCTCTAAATGTAGTGAGCTGTAAGAGAGATCGCTCACTTCATGTGGGACCCATTTTTGAGCTTTCTAGCCTTTCCCAGGCCTTTACTCATGCTAAACACGCTGTATATCTGGTCAAAATTACGGTACAATTAATACAAAACGTATTTCTACGAAAGTTATGTGAAAACCAAAAACGCCTACCATAAATCTGAACAATTAGGTTTTGAAAATAAGCAATAAATAAGTAAATGATCCAATCAAAACGACGTGAGGCATAGGTTTTAAAAATCCACACACACACACACACACATACACCGCAGCACATATTAACACCGCAAACATTAAAATTCTGCCAAGAGATAACACGAGTGAAGTTTTAGATGCGGGATACAAGCCATGTTACTGGTCTAAATCTTAGAATATCTGTAAACACCAATCGTTAAGGGGCATAAACACCGAATCCATCCCCAAAAATCGTTAAAACGACAAAAAAAGTGTGCCTGTGAAGATGATACCATGCTTACCGATCCAGAAGTGATGGTGTAAACCGCGATCTCACCTGCCCGAGTTCCAATGACAAGGCAGTCTAACGGCGCGGGCTTCTGAAGTGTCACCTTGACCGCACACGAGGTCCACGCTAGATCCTTGCAGGGTGATGCGGTTGGGCCACGTTCAAGGTAGACAGCACTGTGAAAAATACCACCGGGATCTAAGAGGTCTTTTAGCCTAATGTACACCTAAAAAGTAAATCAGTTTACTCCTGAGTGCTGCGAAACCATGAGGAGGAGAGAGTGGTCAAATTACTTCGAAAACAACCCAAGGCTGACACGGTCATTCTTTGTCAAATTAAACCAAGGCTTCAAAAAACGCTCGGGGTGACACCAAGTGTCTATCTCGATATCATTAAAAAAAATCATCACCACAGCCCACAATTTCAGCAATGCTGTTTCACCTACTTGTAATCAAAACATCTTGTGATTTTAAAAGCTGGTGAGAAATTGTCAGCTCTTTGTATTTCTAAACAAAAAACCCAGATATTTGCTCCACAATATCGAAATTAATCTCCAAATTGACATGCGGCATTGGGAGGGCAAAATCATTAAGGTAAGTCTGAAAACCCATCACCACGATCGTTTTTTACACTGACCGGGGTTCAGCACAAGGAGCCTAGCACATTTGGTGTCCATTAAAACACCCTGCACGAAGAATTGACTAAAGCTAGACGGAACTGGACAGCGCTTTCGATAAAGGCACAAACAGGCACGAAATACTTTCACCAAACAACTGCGCGCACATTTCAAAAGGCCATCAATGTGAAGACCCATTTTACAATGACCTTTTCAGTCGACCGTTTGGTTCAAAATTAACAAGTTGTTAGGGGAACCCGCAAAATTCTGTTTGCAACTTCTGTTTAGTTTGCTGTCATACTTCATCATATTCCCCGAATCTAAAGGCGATTGCTGAATTTTCGCGCTAGAGAAAATTAGGAGTGTCAACTTATTTACTAAGACTATAAGAAGACGACCACCAGAAACTGGCTCAGATGGGCAAACCCGTAGTTCGACAAAACAAAAAGACAGTAAAGAACATTAAGAAAAAAATGACGAATTATAATAACATCAAGAAATTAGAAACGAAAAACACAAACGTAATTTTGGCAAAATTAGGCGAATAAGGAATCAGCAAAAAAATGTAGTGGCTATAAACCTTGGTCAAAGACTTTATTCATTTTCGCGTTAGGTACTCGTCAAATTGTGCGGGAAAAAAGGCAAAACAAAAAAACAAGTCCTCAAAACACAACCGATAAACAAAAGGAGCAAGTTTAAATTGACACGGAATTGATGATGCGTGATGAGATGCAGTCGAGAGTAACATTCACAGCAACGGCGCAATCGGTAAACACCAATAATAAACAACGACGAGGAACGCTGGTAAACATTTGTGAAGTAGGCAACGGTGCGACGCACACAATGAAGCACCTAAAGTGAGGCGTCCGCAACGCAAACTGCGACAGCAGCAGCAGCAGTCGGAATAGCAGCATTAGTGGTGTTCCGAGGCGGGTTATTTGCATCCGATGGACGTGGAATTGCTTCGGACAGGTTGCAGCCTCTGCTAGCAACCCACTTTGCAACTACTGGTGCAGATTTACTTATCCTTTGACAGGATTTGCATCTGCTGCAAGTCATCCCATGGTATGGGGTTCAATTTGTGCAAACACTCGCGGTCATAAGTGAGGCAACCAAGAGCACCAAGACGGTAGTACAGCGAAGTGCACTAAATGCGATCCCAACTGACTAAACCTCACGCCAAACCATCGCCGAAACACTCGGCGCGTGTTGTTCTCCATCAGTGAGTCGACGTTCCATTCCACCCACCGTATCGCCAATTTGGCCAAGGAGGTGCTGCGACCGCGCCAGGAGGATGCCGCAACTCGAAGTGACTTGTTGGGCACCACGCTGTAAATTTGTGTGGAAAATGGACCATCGCTTGAAAGCACCAAGTAATGCTGCCAAGTTAACTCCTCACAGTGAAGTAGTGCCAACTAGAATAATTTGTCGGTAGTAATTACAAACCACCGTAGTCCATTAAAAACACAAAAAAATAACAGCCCGCTGCTGGTTGAGTCTGACAGCGGTTGATGTGGCAATGCAGAGGGACGGCCACAATGGCTACGTCACTGCGTTCGGCCCCACGCCGCCGCCGCCTTCGTGGGGCGGGAAACGGAGCAGGCAAACTTTGAAGGGAAGGGAGAAGGCAAAACAATGAAGACAATGCGATCATTTGTTGTTTCCCACGCCACGATTTCAGGAATTGCACAAGGTGTAACAACTTGCCGGGACAGTGTGGTGGAGGAAGAGGGTAGTATGTAAAGCAGCAAAGCAGGCAAGTTGCTTTACTTCAACCACGTTGTCCGAATCTCCCTACATATCGGATTTATGCAGCTCTTGCAAAGCAATCGCGTCAGGTTAACAGGTGCACTCATGTGAAAACGCATAAGAGTGGATTCACACTGCAGTCGCTTTCGGGGAAGTCTCAGTCATCAGGGGAACAAAGATGAAACCTGGAAGCATTAGGTTAGCGATTCGCTGACCGCCATATTTGGTGTTGAACAGGTACCTACTGAGCCGGTGGAGTGAGAATGGGCTCTAAGAATATGCTCCAGGGTAATTACTATCCAGGTACTTGCATGCAGGCTCCATAAATGCGCAATATGCATAAATAGTTCATAAAATAACTTGTCTAACAACTATTGAAATATAATATCGGCTTATTTACCTTAGAATGTTTTACGCAACTAACCCATCCCCGAGGCACACTTCATGCTCTGTTTGTAATTACGTTAACATCGTCGACAAATCTAAGCACTCCTTTCACAAGGCAATGAAAAACCTCCCTTTTGAAATTACAGAGAATCTTAGCAACCGTTTCTTCACCCCCGATTCCCGAATGCATAAACTCTAAAGCATAGCGATGTTTTGAAAAGAACGAATCACTAACTACCTTTTTTTCATTTAACGCATGCGTTAAACCGCTAAAATGCTTGGCAAAAAATGCTCGCAACTCAAGTTTGCACGCAATACCAATTTTCATAACACTGATTCTTAATGTTGGAACGGTTGTGATTTTGCGCATTCTGCTTCACTCCTCAGGTGCAGCAAGCCGACCTTCGACAATTTAACGGAACGTGGCAAGGACACTGCGTACTTATCCTCCTCGGTTGTCAAGTAGTTTAACCCAAACAGCCGCCCCGTGGTTGCCAAATGACTAAAGAAACGCCCCGTTTCGCTTAAGCTCACGAGGTCTCAACGTTAAAGTTTAATGATCGAAAGTAAGATTTAGTGTTGGTTTACCATGAAAGGGAACATAAAAGACCACGCAACGTAAAACAGAGAGTTAAATTCAGCCCGAAAAACCCCAAGTTAAATGTTGGCATAACCAATCCTAACACTAATTTGCATGTCGTTGGTACACTGAATGTGAAATGAGTCGAACCTTTTAGAAGCATTTTTACAAAACCCGCAGTACTTGAAACAGATGTCCTCGAAAGCGCAAGTTGGAAGGAAGTTAACTCGGTTCAAAAACCATTTATGCTCTTCATAATCAAAACAGAAATAAAGATGACCAAAAGACACCAACCCTTATTGCAAAGGAATTGACTACTCCACATTCCACCGAATTAAGTCGGTTATAATAGGCATTAGCAAAGTGATGATTCGTTTAAAACGAGCTCTAGCTTAAGTAGCAATTCACTCTGAGAGGTATCCATCCTGGAAGAAATGGGCAAAGTGAAACAGACGTTTGGTCTCCCCTTCTCTTTAAATTATAGGCCACGATAAACTAGTTGATGGACAGGACAATTACATTTGCAGAGCACGACTCACTGGAAATCGCAAAAACAACGTATTTTCTGCCTCAAGTGTCGGTACATTCCCAGGAGAGGGAAGCTAAGTGCCTTCTGGGGAGTCGTTATTGCTTACATAAAGTTAGCCCGTGAAGGACTGAAATCCAGCTCTGTGAATCAAGGTGCGCTTCGAAAACGAACAAATTCATTACCAAGATTTGTAAACTTTTGAAACACTAAAGAGTATCTGGTAGACGAATTTACGACAAACTGTGACAAGAAAGTATGGGATTAATATGAGTTGCAGTTCATTGAGAAATCACTTTCACAACCGATCCACGACACTTTCTTGTGCGATGGGTGGAGTTAATGCTTTCAGAACGTTTAAAATCTCCTATCATTGAACGTCAGAAATAGGTTTGCATTACGCTTTCGTTTCAAGGTAAGTAAGAGAGCCTGCTAATCACAAGTTACCAAAGATACAGGAAAGAAATTGCTTCGGAGAAAGCGATTTCGTAAAGCCTTTTAGTCAATCCTAAGTTAGGCTAGAGGTGCTCGTATTTCCCACGATAAGACCACCTTCAACCAGACTAATGTCCGATTTACGACTAATTTAAAAAGCCATTAATTTTACATAAAGTGGTAGGATTGGTGAAAGTTCTCACGAGCCTGTAACGGTGTTTAAAAAATTCGTACAAGTACAACAAACCATCCCTAATTAAATATCAGCCAAGATGGAGAGCGATGACCAACGACACTAAACAGGGTAGTATCGTCATTTCTCCCGATAAACCAAAAGCTTAAATATTCCAACAGTAAGCAAACGAATTGAACAAGACAGCTCAATTCGGATGGAGAAAAATGCAATTTTGACTGTCTTATCGAACTTGGCGGCCTGGCAAAATAAGGCAGAGTACAAACAATTAGATTAAGAAAGGAAAAATGTTGTGAGTCTACTGTGAGTACACTTCGGTTATTTTTATGCTAAATTTAGTTTGAACCTCGGATTCCACTTACTACCGCAGCGGGCACTGCCAAATTCGGCGCTCGAGACAAGAATCCAAGTCACATTTCAAATGCAAATCACTACACCCTTTTACACCCCATTTTACTTACGGATGCCGTAGTTAAAGTGCTTAAAACCCTCAATAAAAACGATTTTGGTGACTGCCGCAGGCTTTATTTGCATTAGGTACCAAATATCTAGTAAAAATTTAGTTCTTAAAGGCCACCGAGTGTTAACCTGACGCGATTGCTTTGCAAGAGCTGCATAAATCCGATATGTAGGGAGATTCGGACAACGTGGTTGAAGTAAA